TTTATCGCATTGATGAATTGCTAAAACTCTGTTTCCCTAGATAAACTGCACCCCGGGCGCAGTTAAGGGACTGGCCTTTTAGCTGTATATCCAACAAAACTCAGGGGTAATTTTGACAGACACTGGTATCCCCCGACCTAAAGCCAGCCTAGGGCAAGATGAGGTGACGCACTTTTAAGGCGAACGTCCGGATGCAGTCCGGGGACTGGCCTAATTTTGGGCGGTGCGACCAAATATTAGGAGTGGGTAGAGTTTGAACACCTAAGTCAATCAGAGTTTGTTATTAATTCTCTATTGGCTTATTTTTGTCACGTGCTGTTTGACTGACAGCCAGGCTTATGTCACAGCTCAGCGAGTTGGCTTCGTCCCTGTAGGGAGCTATACTAGAGACTTGGTGCCTCGTTTATGTTTCGGAAAATTTACCCGGATATATATTAATACTTAAGCAAACATTATTTTTAACGCCCAGAAATATTGAACACAACGATGACTTTAAGTCAGCGTTATCCCACAATGCGGAAGGTTGGTTAAGCATATTAGAGAAATACATTCAAATAATAATCATTTTGCATAATTTTCGGTATCCTTTTTTAGAAAGAAGATACCGAATCTGGTTTGGAATCATACCTCTCTGCTTGCTGTTCAGGATTCGTCTCCTTTTCCACGATCTGTGCGCGGAGATCGTCGTTTCCACTGGGGATTGAAAACCACCAGGCGTTAATCATATCATAGAACCACCTATACAATAATACATGGCAATTTTATGAGAAAAGAACCTGAGATGAAAATCATTCGTTTATCTCATTTTTCCTGTCCGACTGAAGAGTCAATCAAGAGGCAAGAAATCTTTACCCTCTTTTGCACTAGTCGAGGCTTCACTTTTAGGTTTGGCTTAATCTATACATCGATAATTATAGCGTGAGATCGGTCTTGACAATGATCAAATATGCCCCAGCATATAGGGAATATTCGGGTATATACCCCACGTGATATTCCCCAATTTCTAGACCTTACGTCTACTATGATAAGAGCATTCATTTCTTTTTGTTTTTTTTGTTTTTAAGGATTTGTACAAAGCAGTGCCAGACCAAAAACAATAGGACATAAGTTCTCTACTAGGTTTAAGCTCCAACCCAACCCCCTCCTAAAATAACTGAATAATATAAATAGACTAAATAGGCTGCTTAACAAGTGCACGCAACAAGGGTATTTACCCGGCGACATTTAGGACAAATTATTTTTAAGTACGAAAGTTGTCACCACCAAAAACGTTGAAAAGTCTCTTGAAATAAAACGAATTAAGTTTAGGCTTAAAAGAGTCAATAGACTCAGCCTGCCTAACATCATTAGGCATATTGTTCCACAAATTTGTTATCCTATTAAAACAGAAGTCCCGAAATGTTGATGTACGATTATTATTAATCTTTAACTTCAACCCTGAGTACGCTTGACGCGTCTGACTCGTAACAAAGGAAAAGTAGTAATTAAATGAACGAGTTAGATCAATATGACCATAAAGACATTTAAAAGAAAACTAAGTCGAGATATGCAAGCCAGTAATTAAGCGGCAATAACTTCAGTATGATTAAGCGATCCTAATAAGATAAGTTACTACTATTTCTTTTTAGTATAAAGTGTGTAGCTCTTCTTTGCACATTTTCAACTAAGAATAAATTGACTGACAGACTGGGGTGCCCATAACTGAGAGCAATAGCAAAATTGCGAACGCACTAATGAACAGTAAAGACGCAACAGCGGAACACAGCCAACAATTCCTGCGCAGCTCCTTCTAATAAAGCCCAGTAACCTATTTGCTTTAGCAACTATCATGAGTATATGATCCTTCCAAGAGGTGTCGTTTACAATCACTACCCCAAATCTTTTTCAGTTGAGACAACCTCCACATGTATTATTTATACTACAGCTACGATATGGACTAATACGCTTCCCAGATATACGCAGATTGCTGCACTTTGTAGAATAAAAATACAATTCATTTGACAAGGACTAAGTTGTAAGCGAAACTAAATCCTGCTGCAATTCCAAACGTTTTTAGCTTTGAGACGAGCTTTACCGGGCACATAGAGTCGAAAGCCTTGGCAAAGTCCAAGTAAATTATATCTGATCCTAGCCCGCGGTCCAGTGCATGACCAATGTCATAGAATGCTTCAATAAGCTGAGTAACGCAAGACTTGCCCTTTTGAAAACCATGCTGAAAAGGATACAAGATCTTCTTAACGTGAGGAACAAGGCGCGAGGCTACACACCGCTTCTGAACTTTAGAGATTACTGAAAGTAAGGAAACGGGGCGATAATTTTCGACAAACTCTCTTTTCCCTTTTTTAAAAATAGGAGGAACATTTGCTTTTTTCCAATCTGCTAACTGAAAGCCTTTGTTTAAACTAAAATTAGTAATCGCCGTTATAGATGGAGCAAGGGTCACACATTCTTGAACACGATGGTGGGCAGCTTATCATTACCTTTTCAGTGTCCAATGAACGAAGTCCACAACTTCATCAACTGACACTGTGACATGACATCATTGTTCAGTAACGCCCGCGAGAATCGGTGCGTTCAGATCAATTACACACTTCGAATGATCCTTGTAAATAGATTTGAAAAAGTCATTAAAGGCTTCTGCCCACCCACGATCATCAGAGAATGAGACACCACTGTAAGTTACCTTGTCAGGTATTAGCTTTTTCTTGCATTTGAAGGAAAAGAACGACCAAAAACGCTTAGAAGTCTTATGGATTTCATTTGATATCTCTTTAACATAATTTCTCCTCTCATAACGAAGTCGATTCTTAATTTGTTGCCTTAACTTGCGGAATCTTTCCACTTGTTGATGAGATTTTGAGTTCCTAATTCGCCGCCATAAGGTCTTCTTCTTGTTGATATCCTTTGCTAAGTCCTTTGATATCCATGGAGGACGATTTGAATGTTTATAGTTTACCTTTGGGACGAAGGTGTCTACAGCAGCAAAAACAAAGTCATTCCACAAATCCCAATGAGAATCAAAATCTTCTATGGCATTAACGTTGTGAATACCATTACTGACAGGAGTTAACAAAAGGACTTGTTTAATAGAATCAAAATTTGCATTTTTTAAGTCGAAAGTGTGCTCCTATATTTCACTGCCGTTTCCTCACATCTTTGTACTTAGCTGAACAATAATTCCAAAATTGCAGAAATTAATTATGCTGATTCACAAAACAAAAATCAACACGCACTTGCATCTAAAAAGTAAGTTGTACTTCGCTTTCATTAATCGATCGCAGCAAGTTTTTATGCCGGCCTTGGAGTAGCGTGGTATGTATCACTTTCAGAGTCATTGTAAATGGTCGAAGACGGTATACATTAGTAGATGTAGCTATGTCAAATTTATATTATTTATTTCAGAAGCAAAATTTTAATGTACAGAGCCCTCTGCGATAAATTAAATTTTAGATATCTCTGGCTCAAAAGTAACACTGTCCAATTGAGTTTAAGGGGAACAAAAAGAGAAGTTAACAAAAATATTTTTTGATTGCCTAGCAGTATCTGCACGCTAACAGTCATTAGTTTACGACTAAAGTTTCTTTGAGTTAGAAATAATCCAGAAGGCATCAATCGTGATCTAAAAGAAGATATTCAGTGTTTTAACCGATTACGTATGTACTGTAATACAAAAGGTTACCCGTTGGCGCTTAATGCCTTGATCTGCCCCTTTTGATCTTCAATAGTTTCCTCCAATATTTTGATTCTGTAGAAAGAGTTTGCAGTTATTCAAAACAAAATGCCGACTTTACAGACTTGACTTCGAAATTAATCCATGTAAGTTAGAGACAATGTCGTGAACCTTTCAAGAATACTGAATAAAATGAACCATTATTTTTACAATTCTTAATCACTAATGCACGCTTCATAAAAGGAAAGTTATAGGTTATGTTTGCAATGGGCGATTTCTCTTCGAAAGGAGCATTGCACGAGGAAGAGTTTAAGCCACATGCACACCATGACAAATACACGCCTTATTTTGTTAAAATCATCTCAGACCAGCCATTGATGGCTACCGAACTTTTTAAAGTGACGAGAATACGTAAAAGAATCTTCATTAACCTTCATGATACATACTGCTTAAAATGTTGGCATTGTAAGCTGCAAATGTTTTGAAAGACACAGCTTTTAATTCTATCGAAGCCTGGATTTTTTAGGCCTCTTTTGATAGGAGCTTTAGGCCTCACTCGAAGTTCAACATTGTCATAATCTTAATTCTGGTACTTCACTTGCCGGGAAATGGACTTTACTCCTAACCCTTAACTTTAAGTTAATTCAACATCACTATCATCATCACCATTTTCATCATTGTTATTGCCATTATAATAAATATCAGTATTTTCATTATCAGTATTGTCACATTCAATAATCCTTTTTTAGAAAAAGGTATATAGCTATACTTCTCTACATGTTGTGCAAGTTCCTGCTCCTTTTCCCCAATCTTTGCTAAGAGTTCGTCATCTCTATCATGAAATGAAAACCAATTATTTCATCAGTAAAGGTCTGTCAAACATGTTTTTATACGAATGTGTGTATCCAAGTAATTTACTTTTCATCTACACATATGATTGAATAATCTTGAGATATAAAAAAAGTGCTAATAATGCTACGCACAAAACGTTCTTAAGAACAGTATGTGATACCTTGTTTTCATTTCGCCCATAAGCTCTTTTAAACCTTCCATTTTGTCCTCTTTTTGAAATAATCTGGTGTTAGAAAAGTACACAATAACAGGTAGGTAGCTAATAATAATAATAATAGGTGGCTACATAAGTGTTAATAGTAGTTTATATTACCTGCAGCGGCTACAGATAGTAGTTGCAGTAGCAGCGGTAGTAATAGCGGTGGTAGTGATAGTATCAAAAGACGTTGGTTATAGTAGTAATGTTAGTAGCAGTGGGGGTTTAGTTATGGTGATAGTAGTAGTGATGATGTTGGTAGTAGAAGAGGTGATAGTAGTAATGGTGATAGTGGTAGTGGTGATAGCAGTAATAGTGGTAGTATTAGTGGTAAAAATAGTGGTGATAGTTGTAGTGGTGCTAGTTTTAGAGGTGATAATAGACGCGATGGCTGTAGTGGTGGTGGTGGATGTAGTGAAGCTTGTGGTAGTGGTGGTAGAAGAAGAGGTGATAGTAGTGAGGACCGTAATAACGGTGCTTATAAAAGTAGACATGGTAGTGGCGGCGCTTGTAGTATAAGTGATAGTCGTAAAGGTGGTAGTGTTGTTCGTAGTAGTAGTAGTAGTGATGGTAGTAATGGCGGTGGTAGAAAAGATGGAAGCATTATGGTGGTGGCAGTAGCAGTGGTGCTAGCATTAGTTTTGGTAGTAGTACTGAAAATAGTAATGGTGAGAGTAGTAGTGTCGGTAGTAGTCGTACTGGTAGAAGTGGTAGTAGTAATAGTGATGCAGGTAATTGAAGTGTAAGTAAAGGTGGTAATAGTAGTAGTGGTATTAAAAGTAGTGGTGGGAGTAGAAGCGGTGGTAAAAGTAGTGGTGATAGTTAGAAAAATCGTAATAGTGGTGCTGATAGTAGTAGACGTAGTAGTAGTGTTGCTAGTAGGATTAATGATAGAAAAAGTGGCAGTGGTGTTCGTGGTAGTAGTGAGGGTAATAATGGAGATACTAAAAGTGGTTGAGGAGGTAGCAGTGGTGGTAGCATTGGTAGTACAAATAATAGAGCTTGTGATAGTAATAGTGGTAGCAGTAGCGGTAATGGTAGCTGTGGTGGTACTAGTTGTGGTGATATTACTAGAGATGGTTGTAATGGTGGTAGTAGAATAGGTGGTGGTAGAAGTAGAGGAGGTAATGGTAATGATAGTAGTAGTAGTGGTTATAGTAGAAGTTTAACTAATAGTATAGGTGGTACTAGTGGTGATAGTAGTACTGATGATAGTATTAGGGTTAGAAGTAATGGCGGCAGTATTAGTGGAGATATTGCAAGTGGGGTTAGTAGTAATAGTGGTAATGGTAGAAGTAATGGTAATGGTGGAGGTGGTGACAGTAGTTGTAGTAGTAGTAATGGTAGTAGTAAGGGTGGTAATGGTAGTTGTAGAGGCGGTAGTAGTTGTGGTGGTAGAAGTAGTACAGATAGTAGTAGGGGTGGTAAAAGTAGTGTTGGTTGTACTTAAGGTGTTAGTAGTTGTAGTCCACCTAGTAGTGGTAATGGTAATAGTGGTGACAGTAGGAGTGGTGGTAGTAGTAGAGGTAGCAGTAGTAGTAATAGTGGCGGTGATCATGATGATAGTGGTGGCCATGGAAATAATATAGGTGGTAACAGTAATGGTAGTAGTAGAGTTCATGGTAGTGGTGGTATTGGTATTAGTAGCGGTGGAAGTATAAATGGTGTTATAGGGTATGTTTTAGTGGTGGGGTGGCAGTGGTATTGCTTGGTGAGGTGGTGGTTATGGTAGTAGTAGTGGTGGCAGTAGTGGTAGTATTGGTGGTGTTATTAACAGTGGTAGTACAGAGTGTTAGTATTGTGATGGTAGTAGTGGAGGTAGTAGTGGCAATGGTGGTAGTGGTAGTGATAGAGGTGGTGATGGTAGGTGTGGCGATAGTAATAGTGATAGTAGTAGTTATAATGCTGGCGGTGGTTATAGTAGTAGTGGTTGTAATAGTAGCGGTGATTGTAGTAGTGGTGGTGGTAATAGTAGTTGTATTAGTGGTGGTATGAATAGTGTTCAACAACCCTCGGTTCTCTTTTTGAATAGATAGGACCTCCAAAACACCCAAGACATCAACAGCTAAGAGATTAAACTGCGAAATGACGCAAGGGTAGAAAATGTGCCTGTTTGTGAAATATGTAACGTTAACTTTTTCCACTGCTTAATAAAATATACCCTGCGAATTCTTCCTATCGACGAAAAAAAATCACAGCTAGAGAATTTTTCCAATAGAAAATTCTCAAAAACATTCTTTGATTTCGTTTTCTCAATTACTTGTCATCGTGTACTTTTTTTTTTTTTGCTCTTCGGTATTTTGTTTATTACGCTCCTTTGTTACGTGCTGTATAGTTATATAGTTAGTTGTCTCGCCTCTTTCTTTTTACCATAGTTTTTAGTTTCTATCCGTGAAACAGTGTTCGTAGCAGTAGATTTTTTCCTTTTCTCGGTTTCCCCAACCACAAACGCCAGTTATCCTCAGCATTTGGTAAGCGGCTTCAATTTCATCGTTTTCTTTAATTTCGTTTTGCAGTGGCCTTTACGTAGTTGTCTGTGTTGTAATTATTATTTTTTCGCTCTTGAAGGAATTTACTTTTTCGAACGTTCCGAATTGGCCCTTGCCTGTTCATGACATGTAAACCAACATCTGTCATTCACGTACCCACCGAGAAGCGCTGATTGGTTCTTTTGCATGGGATTTCAAGTTTCCCACTCTGTTGCTTTAGGGTAGCTGGCATGGGAAAACCTTTTGTTCTCCTAGCGCACCCCCTGACCCCATTAACCAAAATTAAACTCGGCAAAACTCGGTCTCATCGCAAATTGAAGTTTCGCGTGGGTGGACTGTCATCAAGTCTCTTTTCCCATAAGCTAAAGTCCGTGGTGTGAGCACAGCTTATGTCATATATCTGCACAGGCAAGGGGTCCCTACAGGCTTACCTATATATATATATATATATATATATATATATATATATATATATATATATATATATATATGCAGGACAGTGGAAATTCTCCATTTTCGAGTTTTGTTATTAGTAGCTACTCTTTTAACATGAAAAAAAGCAACTTTTGTAAGTAACAAAGTTTGATTTTAGCCACAAAGTGTTTTCCTACGCTACTGCAAATGGTATTTGAAGTAGTTGGTTGAACAAACTTATTCTTTTCACGTGCTGCTTTGCATAATTGGTAGTCAGGCTTATACCCTTGCACAGCTCAGTCTGTAAGCTGTGACTACTGGCCCAGTGCAGCTGGTTTCCCAACAGACCTGTGTATAAAGGTCAAAGGTTAAAAGGGTTGGTTTTGACTTTTTCAATCAACTGACTTGGGTGGCAGCAGGGGTTGCGTTTAGGTTGAAGATGGTTTCTTTGTGGCGGTCCTCGTACCTTATTTTTGTCTTCGACTGTTATGCACAACTCAGTCTCACAGACAGACTTATTCCCTGTATTTTCCGAGCAAGGTTGGCTTAACGTCCAAACTTCCTTGATATTCTCGATGCCTCCACATGCAATGTTTCTGATGATTTTCCTTAGTAAAACTATATGAAACTAAAGATTATTGTACACAAATACATACTTCTTGTCCTTAACGGCATTATCATTCATCAGATGTTGATTTTGTCGATCAAAGTCATCATTTTCCCTTCGTGCCAACATGAGCGTGTGCTCTTCATTTCTGTTGAGAGTGCAACAGGAAAATTTTCCAAATATCCCTAGAGCTATGAATCTCGGGTTGAAAGTTAGGAAATTACATTTTTTTGTGAAAATAAAAAGATGTATTCCCAGGAAGAGCGACCCATCTTTATGACGTTTGTTTTTCAAGCAGTTAACAATAGTTTTTTACCAGTTCTCTAGGTTTCAAGCGTAACTGCAACTCTGTTATCCGAAGTCATAAATTCCCCCATGTCCCGCAGTTTATTCCGGAATCCAAAATGTTATGTGTTAAGCACCGACAAATTCCAATGAGGCCACTATAGGCCACGGTACTCAGGGCAAAACATGAGGGGACGCAAATCGTCTGTACTGTAAGTATCCCGGAGAGTCCCCTACATTTTCTTAGACTTTTAGTCTAAGAAAATGTATGGGGACTCTAAGGTGTCATAATCCTGTTGCTGCTGACATCGATGTGACAGATAATTGCTTTTGCACTGTTTTCTTTGCCGGCTTATACTTGTCATCAAGTTTCAATAAGACGGCTATCATTTTTCACAAGAATAATGAAGTTTTCGTAAATTGTGAGATCGGATGGGATTAAAATGGGATTAAATCACCTACAGAGCTTGATATGTACTTACAGTGCAGACGATTTGCGTCCCCTCGCGTAGGAAAATAATGCCGAAGCTAGGGGAAAAACATTGAAATTTGAAGAGCGACAGACCTAAAGAGTGAAAAGGGCTTAAAGTAGCAATCAACACCACTGGTCGGCATGTGTTAAAAGTGATGTGGGAAACGAAATAATTTTATCACCAAAAGTGCCGGCTTTTTCCTAAAACTTGCACTTATGTAGCGCATGCGTCTTCCTCGAATGAAAGTATATAGGATTAGTTGGGCAATGCGTGAGGACACCGCCCGGTATCAAAGGTAACTCTCAGAAAGTTTGCAGGGAGAATTTTCGCTCGTTCACCAAGTGCCTCGGTTAAATATAAGCACGTTAAAATCTAAACGCATATCAGAAAGCTAAATTGAACATAAATCCATAATCCAATAATCTCATGAAATTTAGACGAGAAAATTATTGATTGTTCCTTTGAATTTATGAACAGAGACATAAAATTAACAGAAATGAAAATATTTTTATCACAACTGGGAGTGGGAACATTCTTGAACTGAGAGTAAGTTTCAAAACTATCGGCCTATGCACACATTAGGAAGCAATTTTGAATGAAAAGCCTTCACGTTAAAGGTGGTGAAAGGCTGTCCAAGGTGGAGAATGAGTGTACCATATGTCTGTGACGAAGGAGTGATAATGATTTAATCAGGTACAAGTACGCATGGTTGATTCTGATAGGAACTAAATTTAAAACAGTTTAGAATACTGAAGGTGCCTGTGACACTTGCACCCACTTTGAAAATTTACAGAAAACTAAGCAAGAGTGTTACCTGGAAAGACTGTTGGAAGGATGTTACATATGAAGGTGAACCTTTCACCAAAATAATACAACTCTGCAGTGAAGCCAAAGGTATGTAAAAGGCTAAGTAGACCAAGAAAAGAATTTCAAAATATGCATTTTATCATCTTTTTGCCAACATTGTGATTTTTATGGGAAAAAGACTATGACAAAGTAATGTTTCTTCAAATTGTGTACTTAAATTTTATTTAAGTACACATCTTCAGCTAAGTGTTTTCCAGTTGCCCCTGTTAACTTTTCCAAGTTACATATATATAAATATTCCCAAAATTGGCACAAAAATTTTGCACATGACATATTGCGTTGGTATATAACAAATTCCATTTTACTAAAATTACTGGAGTCTCGGAAAATATTCCTTTTCTAGAGTACTTTTTTTTGGTTACTAGGGCGACACCAAAAGTCAAGACTTGATTTGTTCAATGCAGAGGTAGGTGCATAGTCTTTTTTTTTTTTTTTTTCTGCAATTCACTACGAATTTTTTTGATGCTATGTCTGCTTTAGTAATGGCCTTTTCATTTGATATATTTCAACCAAAGGGTCCCCCAACAACTTACACTACCATTTTTTTTCTTCCGTTCGTCTCTAAAACTACATTTTGAAGGTTATGTGTTTGTTACAAGAAATAACTGTCTTGCGTACTACCGCAAACCGACATAATCCAAAATATAACCGAACACAATTTTTATTTATAGCGGAGCTCGCAAAGCGTAGCCCTATAACTATACGAAATAGTAGTAACCCATCAAGCCGAAAAAATTTGGTTGTACGACCGTACGACCGTACAAAGTGCTACTTTTAGCATGCGCGGCCAACTGTACCACGGGCACTATCTTAGCCACGTAATGGAAGGGCGAAGGAGAAGGTAATGCGCTGGCGCGATTGCGTGCGTAACTTGGATACCCCATCAGTGTGCGCCAAGAGACACCGTCAGATGACGATAAAGTGCGCATACTCGAACATCCAGCTGCAGTTTAGCGTACTGCGGGCACACGGTTAGGCATTGCACGAGGGCTTTACGTGAACTAGTAGCTGAAATTTCGAACTGGTCAGGATGTAGTTGAACAGTAATTCTCAGTGTTTTGCAATTTCTAAACAACTCGTAACACAACAATACCAGCAGAGTTTAAGCTTTGTCAACCAGAGGAAATTGTTATAATTCAAGTTCGTGGAGAGAGGGTTTTTATTGAAAATAGGCTGGATATAAAGAGACAGAGCGACCGAAGAAAGTAACAAGTAAACGGCGTAAAGCGAGTCCAGAAAATCGCGCAAGTTACAAAGGACGCCAAGAGAAACACGAAAGAGAACAATAAAGGGCATAAATAAAAAGGCGAGTTTCTAGCGAAGAGCAAAGCGAGAAGGAAATACAAAGTCGCTTCTGAAAACAGACTGAAAAGAGGTCATCAACAAAGAGAAGCGAACTGCAAAGGATCCGCGAAAGAAGAGAAGGTAAGTCGTGTCCTATCTGGGTTTTCTCTTACGCTAAGACCCAGAAAAAAATTCAAACTTTTTTTTTTTCCGATCGTCGTTTGATACTAGCTTCAGTTTTGAATTCAACTGATCACGTTTTGGTTAAACATTGACCCTGGCATTCATCGCCTAAAAACTCTTACGCCGGTTCATCGCTCGAATAATACAGTCGTGGTGTTATGGGAAAAGAAGTTATCTTACGTATTTTGTTTTGCCTAGAAAGTTTTCAAATGGTGTCGAACGGCGAGTGCAAGTTTCTACTTTTTTTCTCTTCAGTTAGTTATCGCAGGATTTACTCTGTTCATTTGAAAAATTTGCGCTCTGCCGAAGATGTGTTGTTTTACCCTAAGAACGAAGTAATTCCCAAAATTAAAATAAAATGGGATTGAGTAAGCGATGTTCATGTTTATATTAAGTCTAACGCGGTAATTTGATTTGACGATATTGTCATGTGAGAACCCGTCAAACATCTGAGAATCAAATTAGGGACCGCAAATTTGTGGTGCAAACAAACTCACGGGTAAAATGGAGATGGTTCTACAGCGGGATGAGTGAATTTAATTGTTTGGTTGTCGTACTTTTCAGCGCTATGTTTTCATGCTTTCTACTCGATTCGTTCGAACTTCAGGAAATGGTTTGTGTCACAAAACATGGAGCCACTGATGAACATGCTTGCGATACGCTATTTTTTTCCTTACGCTGGAAACTGAAGAATTAATCTCTAAAAATTGGTAGTCATCACATATTGCAAGAAGCGTCCGAGCTGGGATCGTGCAATTAAACGGGGTTCTGGCAATTTGACCTCACAAGCGCGCTGGTAAGCACATGGTTCGCGTAAATAATTGTTGTTTACAGTTATCAAATTCAAGAGCAGTTTTTGAGAGTCTGTTTCTATAACCTTCCTGGATATTTTTTGTTAAATTCATTGAGGTTTAGTCTCGGAATTTCATAAGCGATTATGAATGATAGATTCGTATCGTCACCATAATTTAGGGAAATTTTGTCAACATATTAACAGTTTACAATTCGCTAACCATTTCTGTAACCTACTTGGATATTCTCTCTTGGAGTAATTGAGTCACACCCTCGGAATTTCATTAGTAATTGTAATGAGATGCATTTATGCAAATGAGTGAGCAAGCGCATCGAGAGTGTGTTAGAGAGTGTGCTGGAGTGTGTGTTAGAGTGTGTTCCATGTGCT